CACGTGGTGCACCATGGGCAACATATACTCATACGGCAAATAGTCTATAAATCGGTAGTTTACTAGCTCACTTCAAGGTACCATGACCCGACAGTATGTCATATTCGACCACTTTCAGAGTACTCACCTTACCTTTCCCTACCTTTGTGCCTGTCTGTCTGTCTGCCTCTTTTACATATGTGAATCACTTTTCTGTCCCCCCCCCCCCCACTATCATTTTTGTGACTTTGTCTGTTCCTCTCCTCAGTGAAGCCCGAAGTCAGTTAAAGGGCTAATGATAACTATCAAAAAGTCTGCCGTTTGATATAAATAAATAAACATTCCCATACACCGTCCTGAAATAATACAAAAACAAGAGTTAATGAAAATGGCTACCATCAGCTGTTCCTCTTTTCGAGAAAGAATTCGTGTTTTTTCCTCTAGAGTGCTGCGAGTCTCTTTGATTTCCATCAGTTGAGCGGTCACTTGGGATTCAAGTTCAGATATTCTTTGAGCCATTAGTTTCCTATTAGCCTAGAAAGGACACAAGGAAACACTTAGATTAATACCAACTTTATTCGAACAGAATTATGCTGATATATTCACCTCTCCGGCATCTCTCTGCTCCTCTGTAGCTTCAAGACGAGACCTGATCTGCAAGTAGTCATCGTGCTCCATTCTTAACTCCCTCTCCAGTTGAGTGGCGCGGATCTCAGCCTGATGAAACCTCTCTTCAGCACTTCGGTGTCTGTTCACCATTCCTGCCAGTTCGGTGTTTAATTCCTCGCATCGTTGTTTAATTGAATCGTTCTCTTGGCGCAAGTCAACTACAGTTTGGTGCTCTTTCTATAAGCATAACAAGTAATACTTTTAATTCATTAAAACAGCTTCTTAGACTCATTAAATAAGTAGAAATATGGAATATTCGTTAGGCTGCAGTTAATATTTGCAGCTTGCAATATATGTTTATTGTAATGTATTGATAATTTTGATTTCAACATCATCGTTTTATAGCATGGCAACTATAACCAACTGAATAGATAAGCTCGACCAATCTGACGATAAATCATGGTCATTCGTCATGTGTTCCGACACAGAGAGCCCGGTTACCATCAGAGTCAACCGAGAGCCACCAAAGTTAAGAGCAGTAGAACCCAGACGATTGTGCTCAGTGGTCCGGGGCACAAAGCATTTTTTAAAAAAAACGATCTTTGCTCCTCTGGCCATAACACACATGTTCCGGTCATGATATGAGTAAGCCATAATGCTACTATTACAAGCTAAGTGTCAAGGTTTATAGCAGTAAGTACAATATTGCAAATGAATTAATTATCTCCCAAGTTTTTCCCTAAACTTGTTATTTTGGGCTTAAAATAGATTGAAATTTGAAGAGTCTTCCATGTAATTTATCTTTAGAATACATCTTAAGGTTCATGTATATACTATTTCCTTATTACAAAACAGTATGTAAATCGACTCCCGATTACCAACTTCCAGATAAGTTTTGATTAATTTATTTCTTCATTACAACAGCGACATGCAGGTCACGTACTTAAAGACGACAAATTGGCCATTTATTTGGTGTCAACATGATAAATTTAGGAATTATGCTTTCAGTGTGTTGCAATCTGGATATGTATAAATATCTTAGCAAAGAGCAAGTCATACATTTGCAATACCAGTTTGACGCTTAACTTCAGCTTCCATAGTTCTCAAATCGGACTCCAATTCGACAATTCTTTCTCGAGCAAGACTATGACGATGTGTGCAGTCATCTCGATCTCGAATAAGTTGACGATTTGCAGCGGTGAGATCTTCAATGCACGCTTCCAACTTGACTTTGTCTTTATTCGCAAGGTCAATGTTGGTCTGCAAAAGATGGTGAAGTTAAGAATAAACAAAACTGTCTTTCACTTTAAAGAAATTTAAAAACAACATGACATTTTTAGAACTAAATTGGTCTTGGTTCAATCCAGTTACTTTGATGTTCAAAATGAACTATGAATTTCTTTGACTATATCATTTATTACTATCCCAAATATGACGGTTTTGATGAACACGGTTTTCAGACAAGCGATCCAGCAGGATAGCAACAACAGTGTGAATGAGACTTGACCTTGGATTTGACTAAAAGCACTGGACTGCATCAATCAAAAAAACACCTAGAAGGTGTAAAAATTTCCCCTAAGTTCTTTCTTAGTTTTAATTAAATTATAATTCTCTCTCTAACTGTGTTAAAATGCATAAATCAACGAATTTAATACAGGCAAACGGTAGAAGAATAGTGACAACTACTCAAAGTTCTATTTTAAATGAGCGCGTCAAGCAAATTTTTTTAAACAATACGTTCCTGTGAATGATTATTGATTAGTTATCGTACCTTTAAAGTTTCATTTTCGCTTGCTAGCCTTTCCACATTTGTTTTTAATCGTTCTGTACTATCAGCCAGTGTTTTAACCTGCCTCTCTAACTGATAGCGAGCATCCTGATGCTCGCGTAGTTCATTGGACAAATTATGCCCGCGGAATTCGCATTCCTCCAATCGCTTCTCGGCCAGCATGCAGCGATCAGCAAAGCTCTCTTTTGCAGATCGTTCCAACTAGAATATGAGAAGGTCAAATTGAATTTAAATGCAAGATATGCCTAGTATTTATGAAATATTTAATACAGGAAAAGAAAAGTTGAAAGAACGACTTCAACACATTTACAAAAATAATATGGTACGGAAGCGAATTCATGTATTTTAAATACTATTTTTATATTGCTGAATAGACCTACATTGTACTTATTACTCCATGTGGCGATATCCATTTCAGCAATCTTCAATTTCTGTTGGAGAGAATTAATATCAGCGGCGAGACGATTGCAATTAGAATTAACTTCATCCCTTTCAGTGATTGTAGACATGCATTTCTTTTCAAGGTATTTGTTATTCTTTTGTAATTGCGATTTCGCCCGCATCAACTCCTCTATTTCTTGCTGGAATAAGTAAATAAATTCCAAGTTGATTATTTGATCTACACAAAGCGTAACTTAAGTCGAATGCATTGGAAAAAGACCTTCTTATTAAAATAAAACCTTAAAATTAGCCAATTTTTAGCAAAGAAATGATAAATAAACTTTGGCAAGCTCATTTCCTGTAAGTAAGGCGTCTTCATTATAGAAGTAATCAAATGTAATAATTACGCAGAAGAAAAAATGAAATACAATATTCAATACAGAACAAGCATCAGAGCACCTATAGCACCTATGACATTTAAATTGGTTCTTTGAATCGTTATTATCATAAAATAGAGAAACTGAATGCAACGAGTTCTATGCACCTCGTAACACATCCCAAATACAAATGGCAATCCATTTTGCCATGACAGGTTAGGCAAGAAGGTTACAGGATTCGAGTCCCTCATCACGCGGGCTCTATGAAGCTATCCATCTGTTCAATATTGTTTTTTCAAATTGACTTGAGAGCAATTTATTTAAACAGGGGTCAAATTTAGATTAGTAAAGTTTCAATAAATGGCCGATTTGGTGGGTGGGTGGTTTAAGGTGGGGAATTAGGAGCTCTTGTTTAAAATGACACATTTGTATGGCTTATACTATAATTAATATTTAAAGTTAACTATTCTTTGAAATTTTGGAGATCGAAACAGTTCCGTGGCTGAAAATTTTACATTGAATATTACAAGCTACCAAGAGGGGCAAATATGTTAATTAGCCATTTCTTCCCAATATATATACATAGTTGTTGAAAATTCGCATAAAATTTACATGCATTTTGCTTCTTTCAAGATTAGCATCCTGTAGCTCAGCCTGAAGCCTCGAATTTGTGTCCTTTTCAAGGAGTAGACGCCGACTCGTTTCTTCAGATGACGCCTCAGTTTGCTGACAGACGCTCTCTAGTTCAATACTTCGATTACGCGCTGCCGCCAACTTAGCTTCCGTCTCTTCCAGTACCCTTTGTCGCGTCTCCAATTCATGACGTAGGTTATTGGATTCTTCAACACATTTCTATAAGAAAAAAATTAACATATTAGTAGTCTTAAATACACTTATGAGTTTAAACACGTATATTGAAAAAATTTCCTTATAATTTAAAACAACAGTTTAGAAAACCAATTAAAGATTTATATTAACGAAATTAAAAGCAAAAGTTAAATGATAAAGGCATGGAAGACAGAAACTTTGAGCATCTCATAAGAATGAAATATGAAGACTCCGAGTTAACTTGAAAAAAAGCGGCACTAAAAATTGCGAAAAAATAGCCTCGCATACATCGATGCTCGAGGTGCGGCGGTGAGCGCAGTATTACTGGCAGAAATCTATTGTTCTGTCCAAGTGCCACACCTTGGGTTAAGCCCAGGTTTCTGTGCCACTCCCTCTGAGCAACATCTACATACCTTAAGCTTTTCATTCCGTTCATTTAAGCGCTGTTCAATTTGCATTTGACTTGTTTGCAACTCTTCAAGGCGCCTTTTGAGTTGGCCAACTCGTGCAATGACTTCATCGCGTTCGTTGGTTGCTTCGCTAAGAGCCTTCTCCATGTAATCCATCTGTTTGTTGTGGCGCAATTTGTCCACACTCTCCATCTCACTGGCTTTCTGGAAATGAGAACAGTGGAAAGCTTTGGAAAGTGGTATATCTATGGGACAAAATGAATTTCTGCATTTGTAGAGGTAGGGAGGGAGACACCCATTTTAATCCAAAATGTCAAGGTTGTAGGCCAGGCTATATAGCGTTTTCCGTTTTATGTTTTATTCTGTATACTTAACAAACTCTACGTATTATATATTAACATAAATTGCATTATGGTTAAAAAGATCAAAATCAAAAGGCAACAATAATTGTGTAGGTCATGAGAGCGTTGTGAATCAAAATGTTAAATCCGAAAAATTAGACGATATTTGCACACGATTTCGTGAGGATTATGTGTCATTGAGGTTGTTTAAATGAAGTGTCTAACTTTGCTTAAATTCGAATTTCAGAGATTTCTATATTATTCGCAAATTTAATCTCGAAAATCCAAATCAAAATATTGATAGGACATTACCTAAAAACAGGTGATGTCAAAATATTTTAGAATTATCTATCTGGTCTAATTGTCAAACCAAAGTTTTATTCCTAATTCCCCCTTTTTATCCCACGATACGAAAGATTATATTATGTATATGAGATTTTGGAAGTAATCTAATAATTAACCAAATACTGCATGAAGGTAATCAAAGTCAATGAAAATTAAAAGAGCACACAGAATTTATGCTTACAGACAATTAAGGGGGCTGCCTGAAAATGTTTTTTTATTATTCAGAAGACTTTCCCATTATATCAATTTATTGATTTCAGGTTGAAAAAATCGACTTAATGTCTCGTAGTCCGAGTAGTGTTTTCAAGATGGCTTCAATGCAATGAATAATTTTAATATTAATATTAATTTTAAGAGATAAATATGATTCGATAGCTGAGTAAATCATTTTAATTTTCTGGATGGTAATCTTGATTGCTAAAATTTAAAGGAAGAAGCACCTGAATCGTCACAGAGAAAAATTTCTCGATCCAATAAAATTTTAATTTCAATATTTTATACGGAGTTATCACGGGAATTAAGCTTAACATAGCGTTTCTTAATTGATAACTAGGTCAAGTAACAGTTTTTAAAGGCAAATATTAGTTAAATTTGCTTAACATTTGTAGTTAGCAGACTAGTTATTTTAAAAACTGATTGAATTTACCATTTTAAATCAATAATTTGAGCATACCTTGTATTTTGCTGCTAGACTTTCCTTTTCTGCCGTAAGTTGTTCTATTTCCCAACGTGCACGATCTAGATCACTCTGAAGATGGGTTTCTTGAATGGCGGCTCGACGGTTTGACGCATTTTGTACATCATAAAGGTCGTGATGTAGCCTGTGGATTTCATTCTTAGCCTTATGAGAATAAAGCAATTAGCCAAAGAAATTTCAACCAATAAAAAGGCATAATTTGCGTCAATCATTTAGTAGAGATGTTCAATTAAATTAATAATACTTGTGACGCAACTCAAAGATTTGACAAAATCTTTTATTTTATTCTTAAAAGACAAAATAATGCGCACATTTTTATTAAAGACAGAGATTTTAATTATAGTAAAACACAGTGTGCACATATATGTGTAAAATAACGGTGGAATTTAAACAGATTCGGACAATGCAAATCAATCAAATGTGAAAAAGGCTACAAATATACAGATTTTCTTAACAGATATGCAAAACTATGGCCAATTAACCAAATCAACGTTATGAACATAAGACAATGGCAGAGTATATAAAAGTAAATAAATTAATAAGAATAAAATTTGATCAAAATTAATTGGCTGAAATAAGCAGATATAAATATAATATGACTGTTTCGATTTGAGTAAAAAACACACACGTATATATATATGCATCATACAATAATTAAATGCTTTCATTCATACATTTTTCAAAGAAATTTGCCTATTTGACAGTAATGATCAACGCCCGATTAAGTAAACAAAAATGTCTGTTATTGATAACTCACGTCTGAGTAGAGTCTATTCAAATCATCACGTTCCTTAGTAAGTGTTTGAACGTTGCTTTGAATCTATGGAAATAGAACCCATTAATAGTCAATGAAACATTTACCGGCAAGCGTATTCATCTTCCTTAATCTTACCTCTTGAATGCGCTTCTCAAATCTATTGAGCATCATGCGGAGTTCGTCTCGTTCCAGCCGCAGTTTATGATTTTCCAATGATTCCTCGCAAGACTGCAAAACAAACTAATAGTGACTAGGATATATTCTGAAGTCATAAACATAATGATAATGATATTATGACTGGGCTTTCCCAATTTCTCCAAATTTGTTTTAGTGTGACATCCGACGAAACCGCGGGTGTATCGACCGGAAATTACTGCTTATATAGCGTGTATGATTTCCTGCCACCAAGAAGGCGTAACCTATCACACTTGACTCAACGGAATTGCACAATTTTAACGACTTAGGAGTTGTGTCAGTGAGTTTTTGAAATCAAAATCTCCACGAAAAACGATAAAAAATAGAAGGATACTTGAAACTCATCGCTACAAAGCAATGTAAGTTAATATTTCCGGTTTGATGACTTTAAATATTATATTTAATGATTAGATTTAGAAATTGATAACTCATAAATTGGTCACATTAAGGAGGTGTAAATGTTAGCTTCCGAGGTAAATTTCTTTTGCCCACAACTTACCGTTTCTAGATAATCTGATTCTCTGCCTGTCGATAAGGCATTCACTGTTTGAATTTAATTCCATTATTATATTATGTAAAATTGTTAAGATGAGATTTACTTGCTACGTTTAATGGGTAGCATATTTACGTCTGGACAAAACTTAGTCGTAGATGTTGGACAAATTAATGCCTGAACTCAATTAAAAAATATTAATTATAAACGGCTTAAACAAAACTATCTCAGCGAATCTACTTGAATATTAGAAAGAGAGTATTATTTTAATTTTATTTTCATAAAATACAAGAACACCATGAGGATAAAATAGGTAATTTATTGTAAATACACCTTTTGCTTATCTATAACTTATTTAATATTAGAAATGGAAACATGATTGAAATTCTTACATGTTCACGTGGAAGACTTTGAGATCTCGTGAAGGGCGGTGATCCGGTTGAAAGTCGACATTTCGTGTGCCTGACTTCGCCGCGAGACTCTGGTAACATTTTATTGTCCTCTTTAATCTTTTTAAAAAAAAACGCGCACCTTCAATGGAGGAGTGGCCAATCATATGGGAGAGGAAATGGATTTGCGTGTGCAAAACCATGACAATTCAAGCTGACCTTTACAGTGTTAAGAAAGGTTAGCCGACTATGAGTCTCGTTCAAATGCATTCTTTTTAATAAATGCATTTGTAAAGTTATAATTGATTCAAAGCGTCCCAATTATATAGATTCAAGAAAAGGAATTGTCATATAACCAGCACTGCCAATATGAATGTAACAAAAAATTTGAGACATAGTAAGCAAATTTAAGTAGAGAATGATAAGTAAAAAACGTTTTCAGTTACACTTTGTATCCACCCTTTACCGAAATATTTAGGGTGATTTTCACTATGAAATCATATTTTCCGAAATTTTCCACAACAAGTTGTGAAAGCGTATAATTTATCTTAGTAGATGATATTCCTAAGCGAAAAGGAACACGCTTTTCACCATTTATTAAAGCCCCCCTCATAATGCCTAGATAACATTAACTTCGAGTGCAATTTAAATAGTTTCGCTTAAGAAAAGTTAAGAGTTTTGATGACAATTGCACGATATGGTTTCAATATTTGCATCCGAGGGAAATGAGGCTAAATAACTGATTTCCAATTCTCTTAAAGAGAAAGGAAGAACATTTTGAACAATCTGACGGATTACATCTAGTTGGACTTTGATAATTAGTTGGAAATAGCATTGGGTTGCTGTCAAAGGCCAATGGAGCAGGCATATTTTGAAACGAAATCATTGATATCGAACTTTCCTGAAAATTTGAAAATGATCAAAACAGAATAGGGCTAAAAATTAGGCGTTATAGGAAAGAACCAAACTCTGTAGAACTCTTGGCAATTCGACAGAGCCTCCACCTCCCTCCCTCCCTCCACCACATATAATTATGATAAATATTAGATGAAATGACTTACCTTATGTTGGCTTTCTCGTTGGGATTTACTCCTGGCAAGTTTCGGTGCCGATCCAATTTTGCCACCCGTAACGAGTGGTTTGGCATTTCTTAACCCGACTATACTGGGACAGGCAAGCATTTGGCTGAGGAGTTCAACTTGACCTTTCCAGTAGTCACGATCTTGAATTAGACCAGTAATATGCTCCTCCAAATTGCCAGTTGCTTTCTTTTGACTTGAGCGTCCGTTATTTGTCGTACCAGCCGTTGGACCACCGCCCCTGCGTTTCAATCGTTCAAGCTCCATTATAAGCACTCGTTCTATTAAGAGGGAGGTTATTAATTATGTAATGCATAGTTAGAGGCACTATGCTAATTTCATTTTGGCTTTACTTCTTAATGGCTTAATGACAAATCAATTAAACAGCTTTCTACTGCGTATATCAAAATAAAATGATTAGAAATTTGTATTAGGCAACGGACACTTAAATCAAATAGTGGTTGCTATTTATCATTAAAAGTGTGGCAAAGTTTTAAATGACTTTTAGGTCTTTTGAAAAAGAATTTATCAGAATCAAACCAAGTATAATAAGGAAAAATAGCATTTAATTATAAAATAACTATTTTAAAAGAGAAATATCGCCAGAATAAAACCGAAGGAGTGGCATAGAACTGCTTAAGAATATCATTCATCAAAGTTAAAATCACGAGCAAGGTAAAAAACGCAATGGTGAAGTGACGGAGATTTTAAAGAAAAACAACGATTGATAAATAAATCATGGTGACAGTCAATCTATTCTAGATAAGGGTTCTGCAAACCACAAGTATATAATATTTTTTTCTTGAGATTTTCCTAAAATGATAGCGGAACGGATTTCACTTTTTAAGGCAAAGAGCACATATCTTCATTCCAACTGGAGGACCATGACTCGATCGTCGAAACTAAATTTTTAACTGTATGGGCCAGAATTAAGGCCACTATTTCCATTAAATCCAACTTTATAAAAAATGAATCCACATAAAATAGTAAATTTTGAATTTGAATAGGCGATTAGGAATTGAGAGGAGACAAAACTGAATTGATTTCATCATCCAACCACTTTCAGCCTGCAGCATTATTAAAAAAAACAATAAGCATACCATTGGTTATTAGCTGATCGATTCTCTGAGCCAGTCTTCTCTTATCCTCTTCCGCTCGAAGTAAAAATGTCCTCACTTGTCTTGCATTCTCATCAAGATCTGCTTCGGCCTGGTGTGTACTTCTGATTCTACTGTTTATTTTAGGATTTTCCTAAATAAATATAAAATTGCAATGGTTAAAATTGCATTGATAGTCATTTAAAAATCTTATTCTTACTAGACAAGTAAGTTGGTAACTTTTCTGACACTAAAAGCTTACCCCATCACAAACAAGGAGGTCATAGATGAGGGTTCCTTTTATAAACAAGCATTTAATACCGAATTGTTAAACAACGCCTGGCCCTCTCTAATATTGCTTAATATAATATATTATATACCAATAAAATTAAGTGGTGTGAAATCTTACTGATTCAGGAATTTTGTGATCACTTTGACAATCATCTGAGTATCCGCCATTTTGCCACATTTTGACTTCTATCTTTATTACTGCAGTTCACGTCGTCTCATGAAAGTGGCAAGTCAAATAGTGCACATACGTTGTTGTTGTTATTGTTGTTACTGTACCTGTCCACTCAGAGAAGGGGCTAGACTAAAAGTGGGGAATGCGAGTGCGTTACCATCACACACGCAAGCACCTTCATTGGCATGGCAACTGATAAACTAGGCGGCTGAGTAAGCTGGAGTAGGTACACAAATAATAACAAAAAAATTGGGCAATTATTTTAAAGTAACCAATCACTGGCTTATTGCGTCTTAATGATTAGATTCAGTGGCTAACGAATGCCATAATCCAGTCATATAATGAAGACCTAGTAATCTAGGATGGGAAATTAATTTTTTTTGAAAAAATTTACCAATTAAAACGAACAAATGAGTGGAATCGAGTGAGAATAGACAAGACATTCAAAAATCGGCTGAATCTATATTGATCCACACAACAGGTCACAGTGTCGGAATTTATTTAAGGAAAAGGATAAACTTTTCATTAAAAGACGAATCAAGGAATGACGATAATCACGATCTTTGGCCCCCATATTCTGTCCCATTCATTAGTTTGCTATGATTTTTAATTGGCATGACCTTACGTACCCTAATGAAGAAGTTCGAATTCCGTGGATGTCTTATGAAGGAAATGGACGGCATCAATGGATAAAAATTGAGGTGGGGGTTAGAATGGAATATGCTGAATTCCCGGTGCATTTGGAGTAACCATTATCATCGTAGTATCAATAGGTAATTTACGAATGCTATCAAATTTCTTACTCATGCAGAATAGAAAAAATTATGTCTCTATGACGATAAGTTTGAGCTTGGGCGGAATTTATGCATGCAATTATGCAAGTATTCATAATTTTCTATTATTTCAAACAAACTGCTAGCGGACACTTCCTAAAAATCAATTTAAATAGACGTTAATAATTCATGAAGTGATTATTTGTCGATTAAAGCACATTGGAATGCAATCTAAGAATTCGAATTTATCATTCTTTTCCAGACTAAGGTGTTAAAGAAATTATAAAGCATATAATAAGTCAGCACATTTGCTCACATTCCAGGTTTTCTGACCATCTAAGTTACTCTCTTATGAATGACTTAGAAAACCTATGGAAAGCAGATCGTATCACTCCATTATGTGTTGTGCAACAATGCTAGAGAGAGAGAGAGGGAGAGAGAGGGACGCAAACCTGTTCCCTGGACAACACTCCCCTTCCCCCCCCCCCTCCCAACACGCAAGCAAACACATGTTGCCAGAGCTCAGATATGTGATTTATTCAGGCAAACATAAATTTGACCCTCGTATTGTACAATTATCAGCCTATGTTATTCCTCATTCATTTCTACATGAAGGCGTTTTTACCACCATTTTTGTACCAGGTCTTGTAGAAAGACACAAAAAAGTGTCTGAATGCAAAAAGTATCCGGGATCAATATAATGTAAGTGGGGTGTGCGGCAGACTTACCTCCACGTGGCGCACCCTGGGCAACGTATACTCATACGGCAAAAAGCCTATTAACCGGCAGTTGACTTCTGACTTCAAACTACAATAACCCGACTGCATGTAATAGCTCATCACTTCACAGTACTCACCTTACCTTTTACTCTACCTTTGCGTCTGTCTCTTTTACATCTGTAAATCTCTCTTCTGTTCTCCACCCCTTGACTTTCTGTTACTTTGATGTTGCTTCCTCTCTATGAATGTTGAAGTCAACTAATGGACTAATGATAACTATCGAAACGCCTGCCATTTGAAATAAATAAATAAATATTAAGTAAGTAGAACAATGAGGAAACTAAAACCCTCCCATTTCTTGACTATTCATTAAAGTAATATATCCTAATATCCAACATACTTGGCTTGCTTAATTCATTGCTGCGATTCAGAAAGTGCTTTCAACACTCGTCTTAGACATTACAGAACATCTGGAATTCTCCAATTCTATCCATTAACTAGACTTGGCCAGTATCGATGCATTCATTTAGTGGTTATTCAAATCGCATCAATTTGCTTCCACCTTTTAAAAGCCAAGTGTGCGTGGATGAGACAACAATACCGCAGCATAGTTGAATTCACTAGAGTGCAGAATTTCAAGTGCAATAGGTGAGATGATTGAAAAGTGGTATATTACTTAAATCAGTTTGAGTAAGTTCGATTGGGAAGATTTGAGTGTGTATCAGTTGTGAAGCTGATGCTATAATGATGAAGAGAGAAACCATTCACTAAATAATTTCTGTTGCACTATCTGACGTTAGAAAAGAATTGGAATTCCCAAGCATAATGATTGAATTCATTTTAACATATGTCAAAATGTGAAATTTACTGATAAATGATATGAAATCCTGTTTCACAAATTACAGATTTACTGTTTAAAAGTTATAAATATAATTACTCAACTTGCTCTAACATACTTTTGATTCAAGAAAGCGAACCAATTGTTCATGTTTTCCTTCTATCAAGCCTTTGCACAGAAGAATAATGTCAGTTTCAACACTCATTAGCCTAAAGGTCTTCCGTTTTCAACAAGTTAACAGAAAGACGCAGTTATTATTATGCACAATATGCATTTTTAGACGACCGTGAAATCCTTAGCAGACTTGCAATGCATTTCGCCATTTAGAGGACAATTTATAAGCAGGAAACGTTGTCGTTAGGGCGATAGAGGAAGTGATAGGATGAAAAATCACACCACAGGAGCTGAAGATTTATGTGTCAAATGGAAAGTTGAAATAAACAGAAAATCACCATGGCCAATCAAGCAACGTATAACGCCTAAATTTTTGACATGAAGGAATGATTGTAAATTGAATAACTGTCTTTGATTGTTATTCGTGATTATTTCGAGCTTTAATTCAACATATTTTTCATTTTTGGTCATGGTCGTTTTGAACGAATTCAAATCTCTAAATTAATTTAAATTAATTAAATTAAAAATCGAATGACTAAAGAGAGCACAACATGCGATTCAATAGATCAATATGACTAATTTAATTAAACAATTATTTTAGCACTTTTAATGTTCGGCTCATAATTTTTCTGCGATACATTTCATTAAGCTAAAATCTAAAGACAGATTGAAACATGTATAATTAAAAAATACACTATAGTGCCTACTGAAATAAATAAGTAAAATAAAGATTAAATGTTTCTCCTTTACCCTAAAACAAATATTCTTCAGATGTTATCAGACAGCCAATGTACTCAAATAAAGAAAACAGGCATCATTTTATAACTCCAGTCACTAAACAATTATCTAAATAAATTTCATAAAGATATTATAAAACTTGCCTGGAAAAGAAAGAGATGTGGATGACTAAATGAGAAATACGGTGATAGCGAGAGTTACGATATTGATCAAATGCTATTCATCTTTCATTGACAGTGACGAGAAATTGAAGTGCACGTGACTGAATACAGAGCATTGATTAGTTAAGGGCATATTACGGCAAATAGGTTAGGTTAAAACGCGTCAGTGCAGTATGTGTGAATATTTAAGTCTCAAAGCTGGACGGAGAAATGAATATGTATGGTAGTGCAGCAGAACAAATGTTGAGTACTCATTGGTGATTTCCTACACTGAGCAGTTAGACAAATGAACCACTTATTAGTGATCGAAATCCAGAATATATTAACATGGTTCAAGATGCACACATTAAGCTCGCAAACGTTTACTCAAATTTGGTTTTAGTGGATACGAAATAGATTTGCATGAAAATGCTTCAGGCACTCGACCGATAATTGCAAATATGAGTTTTGTCAACGTTATTTTAAAGTTGAATAAGTTTTCATTTTAGAGAATTTTAGATACCAGTTGGCTCAAAGTTATTCACTGAGCAAATCGACCTTGAATCAGTCCTATTAAGAGACAGTTGGTAAAGCGCACGGCTAGCATAGAGTAGTGAAACAAGCGATAACTATTTAAAACAGTTTGAATAGCGTCTAAAGTCGCAACTAAAAGATATTCAATGTTTTAGGCTAAAGAATTTGACCATTAGGGCCCACCTCAAATCGAATTAAAGTTAGAATTTTATACTCCTATTTCCAAAGATCAAATATCATTCTTAACAACGGACAATTGACCCTTACTGTCAATGAGAGAGAGAGAGGAAGTGAGAGAGGAAATTGATAAATAACCCAGTAACAGTAATCCATATTTAAAACCTTTAAAACCTTTTACCTAATTTTCGTAATAAATTTTCGTGGCAAATACATTTCACAAATGTCGCAAATTTACAACACGTGGAAGTGCGCTAGATTTGCGTGATGTCGCGGGCAATGACGAGATACTCATATTTATCATGCGGTAGGAAATGCACTTCAATAAAATAAAAATGAAATATATTTCTAATCCATTCGTGGTTAGTACTCTCCTCGCTCCAAAGTAAGACTTAAAATTTTTATGATTTGTCTATATTTGTTTTTATTTCATTTCGCTAGCAATTTCTCTTGAAACACTAACAACAGGACTGATTCAATTTCATTGAAAAATGAATGGGAAACGTTTGATTGAAACACGAGTAGCCAACTGCATTGTCAAACATTAACCAAATTAAATATTTAATTTATGAATTATAAATGCAGTAATAGAAAGACGGGGATTTGATATGAACCTCCATTTATATTCCATTTTAATATGATATATTCAGAGAGTTTGGCAATAAGAATAATTTATCAGCTAATAGAGAGTTTCTAAATTAGCGCAGAATTACTAATTAATAAAATTACCAAATAGAATAAATAAGTTGGCCTTCACGATAAAAAACCAAAAAATAAGCAAACAGCAATTCCTTCCTTGAATGAAGGGTTTGACTAAATGGATTGTTTTAATGAAAAGTGGATTGACGGAATGTGCATGTGTGAAGGAAAACTAACTGAAAATATCAAGAAAATAACTCTGGCATTCGCCAATCTAATGAAGGTACAGCGATAGTATTTCGATAAAAATATACTTTAAGAAATACCCCGAGTG